ACGGTGGGCGTCGACTATGAAAAATGATCAGCTCACCGAGTCCTATAAGACAGACACCTCAAAAACGTTTTTATATATATTCATATTTCGCTAGGTGGAGTATACTTTCGAGCACTTGTGACCCATATATCTCAGGAACCACGTGAGGATATTGAATTTTGAAAATGGCATTAGTTTCCTTTAACTGAGCTGCACATATTCTGAAAATACGAGCCAGTTTGGTGATGGTCAATGTCGCTTGTCAAGAGATTTTTACAAATATTGGCTCTTAATAGCATTCTTCCAATATCTAGTGTTTTGAAGCTTATAAACTGCACAATGCATTCTTTTCGAAACTGTCTAGATATCATATTGTTGTTATTGCTTGTTTTCACCGTTTCATCGATTTACTGTTAGAATTACTAATCAACAATTATTCTTACCTCTAAACGCATCACTGGTTGAAGGAGTATACATTCAGCTTCTTTTAAACATGCTCGAATACAATCAGATGCAGCAGCTGAATATAATGCTGGACTGACATTGCCAGTAATTTGAAGATCGTGTAATTTTACATGAGTATCTACTACATCAGCACCAATTAGACAACCTTAAGAATAGAAAATGGAAGGAAATAGTGATTGTCGCTGTGAAACTGATACCCGAATAATAGAACATGCTTATACCTGTTGTTAAGGCCATTTTTGTTCCATGTTCAATAGCTTCGATATATTCTTTTTTCAAATTTTCAAATTGTTGTTCTTCTGTTCTAACAATTTGAATATGTTTAAAAGTAATTACATTACGATCGGTTTTAACCACTGGACTAATTGACATTGTAATGGATATCGATGCTTTTCGCTCATTTAATGATGAATTCCATTCAGTGGTTCGTTTACATTGAATTGTTGGTGTTTCTCGATAGTTTACATTTAACGGTCCCAAATATGTTTCTAGTTTATATTCACGTTTTAAACGATCTCGTATGATATCAATATGTAATTCACCCATGCCCAATAATAATGTTTGACCAGTTTGTTCATCTAGACGTACACGTAATGACGGATCTTCACGTTGGATATGAATTAGCGCTTCATCTAAAATTCGTTGAGAACTATCTGAAAATGTTTCAATTGTACAGAAAAATACGGGTGTTGGTGCTTCTAGCCCGGGATCAGGAATAAATGCGGCATTAACAGAATTTTGCTTTAAATCGATCAATTGAGTTGATAAAGCTTTAGATGACACAAGAATATCGCCACTTACAGTCTAAAAAGAAAAACTTAGATTAATTTTCTCTGACAAATATGACTTATGTATAAACTACCGCTTTCAATCCACTGATAACAGCAATAGATCCTGCTTGTATTTCATCTAAATCTTGCATATCATCGGCAAATGGCAAATAAACCTTTTGTATTGATTCTTTTTCATTATTTCTTAGATTAATCAATGTCATCCGTTTTTTCAGTTGTCCCGCGTAGATTCTAGCAAAAGATAATGGTTGCTTTTGCTTGTCATGTATTGTTTTAAATATATATCCAATTGTGCCGTTTAATTGTAATAATCTTGAACTCCTTTCAAATGCACTTGGTAAATAATCAATAATTGAATCTAGTACAGGTTTAATACCAATATTTTTTAATGAACTTCCACATAGAACGGGCACTACTTTCGCTGACGATAACGTTAAACGTTTGATCGCTTGTTTTAATTGATCACTAGTAATATTTTTATTGGTGAGTAATAGTTCAGCTATTGAATCATCATTATCGGCTATTTGTTCAATAAGTTTCATACGTTCATTTAATATTGTTATATATTCTTCACTGTTCTTATCCAATGATTTACTGTTCTCTGTTGCTGGTGTTTTGAATACTGACGATGAATCATAGAACTGTTCATGGATGAGATCAACAATTCCTCGAAATTGTTTTCCATGGCCGATAGGTACATGCAATAAAAGCGGTTTCACATTGAATTTTTGTTCGATTGATTCAAGACACAATTTCAAATTTGATGTAGGTTTGTCTAATTTGTTTAAATAAATGATACGAGGTAACTGATAGTTGTTTGCTTGACGCCAAACAGTTAATGATTGAGTTTCAACACCTATAGAGACGAAATAAGAACAAAACTTTGAACCCTTAACAAAAACGTACCTACCTGCAGAAGAGTCTAATATCGTAACAGCACCATCAAGTACTCTTAGTGAACGTTCTACTTCAATCGTAAAATCAACGTGACCTATGTAAAACAAAGAGGAAGGGGCTGTTTTAATGTCAAGTATAAAGATCATAATTTACCAGGCGTATCAATTAAATTAATTCGATGTTTATTCCATGGAAATGTAATTGCCGCTGATGTTATTGTAATGCCTCGTTCACGCTCTTGCTCCATATAATCCATGGTTGTATTTCCATCATCAACATTACCTAATAGAAATGTAGAAAACTAACACGTTTATAATCAAAGACACTAACAATCAAAATAACTATACCCATTTGTCGTATAACTCCTGTATAATATAACATTCGCTCGACAGTTGTCGTTTTTCCTAAAATTCAAAAAATCAGTCAATATAACTGTGATTTTCAATCAAATCTAGGATATCTTATGTACCGGCATCAATATGTGCAATAATTCCAACATTTCGAATTTTATGTGGATCGTTAATTTGTTTTGCATGCTCAAATACTTTCAAACGACTCATACAACGGTAACAAATATGTTGTAAAGCAACAGATCGAAATAGTGTCTTCATCTAAAATCATATAATTAAAAATTCAAAGGCAGACAGTAGTATTCTATAGTACACAACAGCAATAAATTTAATTATTGTATAAAAATATCATCCAATGCCAACCTAATATTGTATTTTGAAAAAAAGAAGACGAATAATAACTACATTCTACAAATAAAACGTTTCATTTCTATCGAAACACATTCACATCGTATTTACAGAATAATTGAAGAAAAAAAAGAAAACGTGCAGAATGTTAATCTCATTTAGATTAATTCAGTAAAAAAAATTACTTTTATATATTATTGATTGCGTTCAACGATGTTTTTCTAACAAATGAGCGCTTAAACGGCCATTTGAGCTACGAATCATTACCACATTGTTTTATAAAATTCCCTCCAAAACAAAAAAAAAAAATATTCATCTGAGATCAAAAACGAGAGAAAATAAAATAAAACAACAGATCAAATTACATAATTATTTCCTATTTTAAAAAAAATGAAAACTCAGTTTTGCATGTTGAAGAAGTTTTGTTTTATTTGGAATAATCACTTTCAAACAAGCAGCCTGCATAAAAATGTTATAATTTTTCGAAATAAAAAGGAGATTGAGAGTGTCGAGTAATAAAAATAAACATATTACAAGAACTATACGCATACGTATAGATACTGAATGAAAGAAATGGTTAGGTTGTAACCGTTGAACGATTTCCTTTAGTATGGCGTTTTTTAAACGGTGTATTTGTTTTACCATTTGTTGTATTTCGTCCTGTTGTTTTTACTCTCAACTGCTGTTGTTCTGCTTGTATGTGATGTCCATGAGATAGTGTAGAAAGTTCTGCAGATGATTTTCGTTGTTGTGGTTGTCGTCTCTCAGTATCGTAGGAAATTGATAATGATCTTTTAGTTTTATTAGATTGTTGAATTTTTCTCGTTTGTAAACGTGTATTTACTTGTTGTGGTTTTCGATAGTCGTAATCGTGATGCTTATTAGAAGATAGCGGTAAGGTAGTTGAACGTCTTGTTGTTGTAGTAGTAGTTGTTGATTTTTTATTGATATTAAACCAGTCAATATGTCGTTCATAAAACTGAATCACTAATTGTGGTATTATCTCTGTAGCTTGTTTATTTGTAATGTAGAATAATTTATCAGGACATTTCTTACATTTTAATAGAAATTGTAATTCAGCAGATTTTGAGCGAGTTATGCTGAAAAATAAAAGCTAATCCAAATAGAACCTAAGATCTAATTAATGAAAAGGTATCAAATTCAAGAGAAGACAAATCTTTCCCTATAAATATGTTCAAAATACTCACCAAACAATTTCTTCTGGTTCTAAACTTAAAAAGTCGAAATTAGCAGTTTTAGATGTTGACTGTGTCGTATCCATTATGTCTGATAATTGTTGTTCTTGGGACATTTTTGATGTTTTGGGAGAAGAGTGTTGTACATTCATTTTATTATCTTTAACTAAATCATTTCCATTTTCATCCACGAGACTACCATCACCATTAGCTTTGGACGAGGGAGAGGCCTGACTTTCATCGTCTAATCGATGTCGTTTTGCTTGCTGCCAATCATCATTTCTTGTCATACGATGTTTACGTGACTGCTTTTTAGGAACCAGAGATGATCCTCTGTCTAAATGAAAAATGTTTTATGGATTATCAAGTTTTAAATTACAGCTTCTCAGTGTGGATTTTGCTTTAAGAAGCTTCTAGCAGCATCTCTATAGAGTCTTTCACATACATACAATATTTTCAATAGTTCTTTAGAATACTATAGTTACTGATATTTGCTCCAGTGTTACCGCTTAAGTAAAAATTATTAGCTACTTTGATAACTGTTTTTTGCTATTTAGTTTAATATACTCCACTGCTACTTCAATTTTAAGGACCAAAATAGGCGTCTGCCATTCACAAGAATTCTCGCTCCAGGTAAATGATAGAGAGCTCGGGCTGGTTTTGTTTTGCAGTAAATACCTATGGCTAGGAGTCGACAGAGTCCAATTTTTGAATTTCTCATTTACTGACTTTTGGTGCTTAATAGAACTTTAAAATCCGAAAAATCCTTGGAAGGTTTCTTAGAAATCCTCATTTCTATAAAAAAATAGAAGTATAGTTTAAAAATCGGACTCTGTCAACTCCTACCTATAGGTGTTATCTACAACTCAAAAAGAAGAGAAACTTCCTCCGATGTATCGTTACCGAGAATTCCTGTGAACGGCGGAAGCCCTGAAGCTAAAAAAGTCTTAAGAAAAACGCAAAATAAGTTCTGATTCTGTTAAACGCGTTTTACTTAAAAACTGTTTGAACGTTAAATAATTTGTAGATATTTTGCTACAGGTTATCGGACATGGCAGATCTAATGAACATGTGTGCGGTCATGTACGGCATATGCATGCGCTTATGCAATAAAAGTGCAAAAAAGCCAAATTTTTTTGCTATGGGGCTTCTGGAAAACTCGCTCAAAAGCTATGAAAAACCTATCCGATCGACACAACAATTATGTCATTAGAAAGTAGACACTTTGGGCTATCCAACCATGTGCTTTTCTCAAAACCAATATTATTGCCGAAAATCGACATTTCTGACCCGGGGGGAGCGGAGGGGCCTTAATGCATTTTTCTACTGTATACCTTCCACAAGTTGTTGTTGATCTATACCAATCTGACCATCATTCATCATATTTTGGTCGCACTCCTTATTAAACTGGGCTTTTTCATTCTCATCCTCATTTGAGGAAAATGCAGATGTTTCATTTGTTGATATCATTTGATCAATTTCATCTTTGACAACTGTTGACGATATTTCATTAAAATTATTTATCTGTTTTTCATTTGATTTCATTTGTACAGTTTGCTCTTGTAAATAATCAGTTGTACTTGTTTCTGTATTTTCAGATTGTTTTTTAAGATCATTTTCTTCTTCTTCTTCCATAATATTTTCATCATCAGATCGTTGATTAATTTGATATTCAATCGTTTTTTGACTATCTGACGACATTTCATGATCGTCATCGCTACTATTAGTAATGAATTTTACATCATCTTTGTTATCGTTGTCATCATCCTTAGTTTCTCTTCTCGCTGCTCCGATAAATGAATAATGTGTATCATCGAGTGGTATACGATTGATTTTTTCATCTTCACCAGTGGTAATGATTGAAGGTGGCAACTGTTGTTGTGAACGATTCTCATCAATTTTAATTGCTAATAATAAACTTTCAAAATCGGATAAATCTGATGTTTCAGAAATATTCGACTGTTTATCTGTTGTTGTTGATATCGAAGAGAAAGGAGTTTGTTTATTTTTATCGATGCTTAACGTACTAAAAGCAGACTTAGATTTTGTGACATGTTCAGTTTCTGAATCGTTCAACGATTTCGCTACAAAAACAGAAAACTACGCTTTATATGCCAATCTATACTAATTTTTGAAAAACTTACCTAATGCTGTTGATTCTGTTTTATTAAGAATATTCGTTATTGTTTCTACACATTCATCATACTAAGAATATGAAGGAAAAAATGTTTGCATATTTTTTCATTACCGGATATTAATTGAAGCTAGTACTCACCACATTTTCGTTCTTGATCTGCTGTAAAAGCTCTTTCTCTTGTTGTGCTTTTTGTTCTCTTCTTTCGTAGTCATCAATTAAATCAGTACAGAAAACATTTTCTTCTGGTTCCCACGTACATTCTTAATAACAACAAAAACGTACAGCAAAGTAAATCTCATAATTTCGATGTATTTCATAGAGGACAGTATACCTTACCATCATCGCCAAATCCAAACCATTTTAAATAATAATGAACTTGATCATCAATAATTCGTTTATCCAAAACACGCTCAACAATATAAATGTCAGCCATCTAAAGTAACGAAAATTTGTACAATCCTTCAATGTTTTGTTTTGTTCTCTCATATATTAAAACATACGAAAAAAAAAAACTTTATAACTTTATAACAGATCTCTTCTTTTTTTGTTGCGTAAATCCAAAAATAAATGTAGACAACGAGAAAAACAAACAAATATAAAATGAAAAACAGCAAAAATGGAGTGAAAACAACAAGAATACACACTTTAAAGAATGATTTGTTCACGAAGATAACGGCTCATGAGCCGAATAGAATAGAGAAAAGTGAAGAATTCAAATATCATAACAAAAAAATTTCAAAAATAGAAAAATTTTCAATACAATACTACAACCACTATAAATATAAATCAAACAAAAACATAAAATGAATAGGTTGTACGTATACGTTATTTCATGTAAGTATTAATATCAATGCTTATGTCCCATAGATAAGGCAATAGGAAAACAACATCCAATAATTAATATGATTAATTCAACAGAACGAAATTGTCTATCTTCATAATGAGACTGAACTTCAGGTAATACGTGTACAGTAGAAACAAATAAGAATGTTCCAGCACTAAACAACATTGCTAAACCGGTCGCATCACCAGAATATGTTTCGCGAACACGCTAAAATACATTAAATATGTAATAGTCAGTATATGCATGATTCAATCTTTCAGTTGGATAGATTATGAATCAATTAGGACGTGTTTAAAATTTTCTAATCTGATGAGAACATTACGGATATAGAAATACAATAGTAACAGGAGATCGAGGAAAATTGTAACACAGTTATTGAGAGCTATCCATAGCTGCGGTATGTTCCATTTTGTAGAAAAATGTTTCTTCTATGTATTTGTTGGAAGAAAAAAAGTTTAAACTTAATTGTGACATAAATATTAGCGATCTGGAATACTGTAACTGTACATGATAGCTAGTCATTAGTCATAGAACTGTTCATGCCTCTTCAGCAACTCATTAAAATAACTATTTTCTTTAATTCTTTAATTTTTTGTTTGGTACAAATATATACATCATATATTTCTCTAAAAAATGTGACATTTCGTAAGTCGGAGCAATTCTTAATAACCGTATTATAACAATTTTTCTGAATGCTCCAGAAAACAATTAGAAATAACTAGTCCATAACTGGTAAATCTATATACGAATCTAATCTCTACTACAATACTTACACTTTTCAATAGAACATACGTAAAAATGGCCGTTAATGGAGCCGCCAACGAAAATATTAACAAATGCCTTCTTATTCTCTTTCTATCAACACCATCAGCTATTAAAAAGGATACTAGTCCAAATGCAGCCGGAGCCTAAACGAAAAAAAGTAAATTCTACACAAAATAACAAGCTAATATTATACATCGACCACTTTAACTTAATATCTCTGTATTTTAAAATTCTATTAGTTGAATCTCGTGTAACTTTTCCTATCACACAAAAAAATCGTCATGCTGACAAAATTTAAAACGTGATAGTAACGCCTTATTTTTCCCTTCATTGTTCTAGACGTACTTTATGCAGCATAATAGCCATAAAAACAATTATTTCCACATTAAAACGACTTGTAGAAGATGCTGCTCCTAAAAAGTGAGAAAACAAATGTATTATAATAAAACGTATCGATTTCCTGTACTCACCTAATGCAATTCCATCAGCTGCTGCATGTACAACAAGACCCAACGTTGCTGTCCAAGTTGATTTTGGTTTTGAAGCTATTGTTGAACCAGAAGAGTCCAGAACTAAAAATCCACGTTTTATTCAGATATCATTGATTTTTTCTTAATCGAAAAAGCTCAAAAATGAAGGTGCTAGACATTTACTTTGAGGTGAATGATGCCGAAATAACCTTGAACTAAAATTATCGACGATAAGCATAAACACAAACCCTAATATTAATGTAATACCTTAAATGAGAGAGAAAAATCTTTTTTAATACTATTCAAATTAGCATAGGATTCAAATAGGCAGAAGATATTCGATGAGCTGACCACTAATAAAACATTTTTAAACGTATCCGACTAACCAATAGCTGAATGTGCTGTATCAGTGTGTTTTAATGCCGAAACTCCCAAATCTCGTCCTGCATCAGCTGTATGCTGATGGGAGGGGGGTAATTCTCCTTTCGCATGCTGTTCTTCTTTCACTGCGGGAATTTGCTGTTGATCTTTTATGTGAACTGGTAAATGATGATGTTTGTGACCATGGCCATCTTCAGCTGCCGGTAATGCGTTTAGATGTCGCCCTTTTCGATAAAATTCCTGTTGTGGTTGCAGCTGATTTGTTTCTAAACATAACAAAAATAACAAAATTTTAGTTGGTGGTTTATCGAAAACAGAGACCCGATCCAGGATTTCTTGAAAATATATGTTTTCGATGATATATCGACTTCTTCAGATTACTTTTCCAGAAAAAAATGAAAAATTTCAGCATAAAAGTGCGTATGATCGTACGTATCCTGAATCGACTACCGATTGAAAATCGTCTCCTCACCTAATTCATTGATGTAAAGTGCGTGCACACCTTCAGGTACAATTATTGCCAGAGCAGTACCAACTAAAAGCCCAGCTCCAAGCACCGTAACATATCGCATTTTTGACTAAGCAAATAAAATAAAAGAGCAGGTTATTTTAGATGTGAAGGAGGTTATATGAAATAAACAAACGAAATGCGCTTAAACACTAATCGCACTTACCTCGGACAAACTGAAGGCTAATGGAACTAAACCTGATAAATAGGAGCCAAGAAACATAGCAGAACTAAACAAGATTAATAAAAGAGATTCTGACATGATATTATTATTATTCTAATCTAAAATAAAAACATTCATTAAAGTAGACTGCTAAAAGTAGTCGTTATGATGTAATAATTATTTAGTGAGAAAGTCGGGTAAGAAACACCTAAGAGCGCATATATTACGAAATCAAGAAAGAGTATAATACTCTCGCTTTCGCTATTTGCAACTGATTCTCGTTCTAATTCTCTAATACTTACATCATTTATTTTTATTAATAGTTTTACCAAAGATGGCGACAGAAACGGTCGATCTGTCTCCGGAAGAGAACCATATTGTTTCAGGTGCTTTCGAATTCACAATTCATTTTTCTTTGCAATTTTCAACAAGCAGACGAATCCAGAAATTTTCCGGCGAATGTGAAGTAATTTGGAAAAAATCTCGACAAAATATTTTACTGGAAACAACAACAAATAAAAAGTTGTTCGGAATGTACAGGCGCCCGGTGCATCATCCGATTTCATACTGTCTGAAACGGTAATAAAAAGTTTGGCGAGCAAAACAAGTGTCTCCACTCTAGTTTTATACAGAGACTTTTTGGGATATTTCACTTAAAGGCACGTCGGTAAATTCTGTAAAGTGTGTTATGACATTTTATTTATCATAGAGAAGATGGACCAACGCTAAGAATTTGAGAATCTGTGAGAATTAGGAATCAGATTTTATGGAAAAACAAAGAAAAAATATGACAATTTGATTTTCTTCGGAAAATCTAGTCAAAACACTCTTGACCAATAAAAAACCAGTGAAAGAATCTGTGAACAGGTGGCACCTAGGTATTTTAAACTTATATATTTTAGAGTCTTTGCTATCGCCACAGATACGTTAATGACTATTGACTGACGAATCGCGTGAAGTGTAACACTAAGTTTTTTGTATATGTAGCAGTAACTTCTGTAACACGAAGTGTTGAACGCAAGGCATATATATTAAAACGTTATCCCAGTGAATGTATCTATGCCCAAATACTTTGCTTGTGTAATGGAGTCGATACTTGTCTTTTTCCCAAAGTAAATTATCTGGTAAGTACTTCCATCACTTGTAAGTACTTTGTGAAATAAAACCAGCCCTAGTGAATGTACTTGGTACAAGTACTTGATTACTTGATGAATACTTGGGAAGTACGTGACAAGTTAAGCATTTGGCAAGTACCTGATCAAGAACTTGCCAAGTGTCGTTACTTGACTTGCTTCTGCCAAGTACTTGGATAAGTCAGTCACCCTTTTCTTTTGCATTGACCGCTTGTATAGAAACACTACAATATCAATCGTTATACAATTATAAAATAAAGTTATATATTTCTACTGAGCTAAACAAACTTATTAGCCGTGCATGTATTTGGCCTACAAAAAGTACAGCATGGCTGCTGAATACGTATAAAATACAAATGTAATAAGTATTTGACTGACGCTTTTGAAGTAAATTTACTTGCATTGTGTCAGCCAAGTATGTACATTTTACTTGTCAAGTACTTTCTCAAGTACTTGACAAGTAAATTTACTTAGAAAAGTCTATAAGTACTGTCCCCATTACTTAACCCAAGTACTTTCACTAGGGAGGTATTTGAATCTTGGAGAAGTACCTGTGAAAGATCATAGTAAGTAAGTAGTTTCGAAATACTTACTGAATGATCAAGTGCGTTCACTAGGGTACTCAGTCTCTCAGAAAGGTTCGACCTTGGAAAAGTGAATGTGTGTGCGTTCTTTTTGTTGTGTGTATGTGTGTTAGAATACGTTAGAACTAAGTGCAACCCTAGCATTTAGTCCGAGCGTAGTCTAACATTTTTTCTAAGGTTTTTGTTTGTGTTCTTACGCGATCAGATCACTCAAACCAATTTTTTCATTAATTTTTCCCAAAAAAACGCAGAAAACTTTTATGTGCAGTTATGCAACTTTCAGTGACTTTTGATTTTTCTCAAGTCATTGTTTTTTTGACAAGTTATCGCCTTATCAAAATAAAAATAGAAGAAAACAAATGATAACTTCTTAAATCAGAAAGCATACCTAAGCAATTTGGCTTTTTGCTTATTTTTGTAGGAAATACAAAGAGTTATGGATGATATAATACGACCATCGATGACTCTCAGTATGCGTTCAACATCGTTATATCGTTCACATTCAATGCCACGCAAATATGATTCCTCTCTAAAATTGAATAGTTCATCCGACTCAAGATCAATATTATCTCGTGAAAAAGTATTTAGTAAGCTTTGTTCATTTAATTTTAACATTATAGTCATCGATTTTTTCTGTTGAAGAAATCGGTAGTGAATTACATCGACAAACAGTAAAAGAAGCAGAAAAAAAGTTTGAAACCCAATTAGCAAAAAAAGAAAACGAATTGCGTTTAGCAATTAACCGTCGACAACGTACACCAGATATTAATGAAAAAATAAAAGCAAAAGAAGATTTAGAAGTTCTACGTTCAAGTTTAAATAAAGATTATGAACAATTGATAAAAGTAAATGATTATACTTTAAAGATAACATTTCATTCCATTTCGTAGTTTCGTTCATCACTAGAAAAGACAGTAGTAATCGCTATTGTTTTTTATCGTTTTTATGCATTTTTAGATTTATATTAATGAGCATAAGGTAAGTTTATGTTCTCTCGATTTTGTGCTTCTCTTCTATATACTAAACTACCAAAAGGTAACTTTTTTTATCGGCAGAATGGATATTTGTACGACAAGTACAAAAAGCTAAGATAGATCGTCATTTCGATCAGTTAGTTTAGCAACAGGAATAAATTTATATACTAAAAGATCTTCGAACTGAGAGGATTAATCAAACTCGTCTAAGTCTATAATTCTGTCAGTTCATAATATAACATATTATTTATCCTCAGTTAGCCAATCTCTTCTTGCTTATCCAATGCTTGTTCTCTTTGGGAGCTATTCTATTTAACGTAATGTTGTGTTTATAATCTTTTTTTCGTATCAATTACAATTACTTTTTGCTCTAAAATAGTCTGTTTTTTCTTTTTTTTAGGATAAAGTTGATCAAATTGAAAAATATATGAGTCGATGTAGTAGAGATGAACTTGAATTACATCGAGTTGAATCACAACGAAAACTTCAAGTATGTATTATATTGACTCTTAATAGTGAGTGTATAGAAACATTAAGAACATTGTAGAACTTTTTAGGAGGCTCTACAAGACGCTGAAATGCAAGCAGAAAAAACAAGATTAGAGTTGATTAATCAGATAAATAGAGAACAAGAAACAGTATGTAAACAAAAATTAGCTCAACAGAAAGAGTGTGTATTTGATTACAATTTTTCATCCCATTTATCGTTCTGATACTCTTTTTTTTTTGTCTATGTTACAGAACATATGATCGCTTATTAGATGAACAAGCGAAACGTTTACGTGCTGAATTCTCATTAGAATTTAATGAACAACAGACAAAATATGAACAAAAATTATTGGCAATGAAACGACACGACCATGAATATACACAACAGGAAATTGAACAATTAAAACGAAATTATGATGAAAAAATCAAATATCTTCAAGAAATACCTGAACAAAAAAATTTAGATATAGCACAATTGAAAGGAAATTTGGCTAGAATTGAATATGAAAATAGAGAATTAAAAAAATTAGTCTACGATTTACGATCAGATTTTTTTCAGTTTGTTGAACAACAAAAACAATCAACATATCAAAGTGTCTTACTACTACCATCGAGAAATCGATATGCAATCGAAGAAACATTTTAATTTATTTTTTAACAGCTTTTTGTGATATAGAATCTCATTGTATTTTATTTCTATTACAATATTATTTTCAAGTGGTTGTGTAAAAGAGTTAACTCTTGTCTGACGGATTGAGTGTTAAACGAGTTAACATCATTTCAAACGTATCAGTCATATTTTGTATAGGATGTATTCGTTTTATTTATTTATTTCAGACTATTTTTTTTGAAGAATCATTTCGTTATTTAAAATAATTTATAAAAATGCCATCAGCAGCAGCTCATATTGACAAAGAGGTAAAATACATAATTTCCTAAACATTAATCATAGACTGATAGATCTACATTGAATATTAGATATGGCTTTCAACAACATCAACATCTTTAAAACGACTTGAAAATGTAAAACCAATAACTGTTCGATGTATGCATCAATTAGATGAAGCGAAACAGAGTGAAATTGTTCAAGAAAAGTCTGAAAATGAAAAGTAAACAATAGATTCTAAAGAAAGTTCATAAAATTAATATATAATTGATTTAATAGTGAGAAATCAAAAGATGAACAACCAACAGCGGCGATGATCACGATTGTTCCATCTTCTAAAAAACAACAGTATCTAAAACGTCGACCGTCTAGCGTTATGAGTAATCCAAAATTAGAACAAAAAAAGTTGACTAATCGTCCACAAAGTGCATCGAAATTGAATTTTATCGATGATATGGTTACTAAACCGCCTACCACATTACTTGTTCGACATTTAGCAATTTTACCAAGTTCTAAACAACAACAAATAAATCATTTACCAACGGCAAAAAGAGTAAATCTGTCAGGTAACGATATATAAATATATAAATGTCTTAAATTAGAATATGTATTTTTTTATAGATACATTTACAAAAGCTGATGTACCACCCCCGACTCCTAACGTTGGTCTGTCGTTTGATACACCGATAGTTAATTCAAAGTAAATTTATTTAAAATAATTGTCAAACTGTAAACGAAATACTATTCTACTTTTTTTTAGTGTTCAAAATATTTTTATTGATATGACACAATGTATGATAGCTCCAAGGAGTAGGTAATAGTTTCAACAACCGTTATTCTATAGACAATGATAATAGACAATAATAGTGCATAAATCGAATTAGATCACTTGAGAATCATTAGATATGTTTGAAGAAAAACACATATTAGTTGGTCAATTTAATTCGCTTATTTTTATTTTTAGTCTTGAAACTACAGTCATAATCGATGAGGATACAAATCATATTAATATTGATGAAAACGATGATGAATTTCAGAATGTTGATAATCTAAATAATACAAATTCTACTACATGTGAATTGATCGATCATGCCAAAGTTCTTCCACAATTTCAACTAATTGTAAATAAAAATAATTTTTTTTGCTTCATTGACTATAAAAGAGGAATTTATTCTTTTTTTAGGATCGTAAACCACGTTCATTAATTAATAATCGCTTTGCAGCTAGTGACAAATCAAAATTACAATGTTTATCAGAAGCACATGTTCAATCTGATTATGCTCGTGATAAAATATCAAATTTATCAAAAGTAACTGTTTGTTATGGTGACGAAAATGCTATTAGTAAAAATCAACAATATGCACGAGAATTCTATCAACAATTAGTTAAAATAAAACAAGATCCCGCATTTAAAATTGAATCATTACCATTGTCAATACCAACAAAAATTGAACAAAAATTAAATGAACTGGAAAATGATAACGTCAATAGTGAACAAAATCAAATAGATGAGCAAAAAAAATCAGCATTAAAAGTAACAAAAACATTGGAATTTATTAACGGTGAAGTTAAAGAAAAAACTGAAAAAATTGATTTAAGAGTCAAAAGTGCACCAACGAAAACTAGTGGTAGAATAATCAAAGTAAGTAAAAAATTTTCCGTTTGATATGATGTATCTTGTAGACTAATGAATAAGAAACAGTTTGGTAGTCTTGCAAGATGAGAGCGAAGTGTACGCAGTTTCTTGAATACTATTAAAAATTGATTGATCATTTGCTATTGAAATTGTTACGTATAAAAAAATTGTCGTACACCTCTGAAGTTTAATTAGATGGAAGTTTTCTTTCGTCTCGGTGGAAAACATTATTAGTAAAAAATACAGAATACGAATAAAAGCTAAATACTCAGAGGTTCGTGACCTCTCATTTTATAGAAAAATGTTTGTTAAACATTTCAGCATAGTCGAAAAAAATTATATTTCTTTCTTCTTCTTTTTAATTACATGCTTTTTCTTAAATGACGCAAGTTGGTTTTGGGGTTCATAATTTCTCTATTTAATATTTTTAAAAGCTCTAATTCGGCTTCGTATTGTGAGCTTTAATCTAAAATATACTACATAACCGTCGATATATATATATGTATTCTTTTTCAACTTTAATAATGATTCGCTGTCATAAAGTTTATTTAGGATCTACTTATTTAATTTCTAATTTTGTTTGGTTCAATCGTCGGCATAGTGGCAGTAGTTCAAATTTCAATAGTTTGATATTTTTATTCTCATATTTTAAATACTAAGTTAACATAAAAGACTATGGTGACGAATCTTGGATGATATCTCATTTTTTCAGAATACAAGTAAAAATTTTCATTATAGTACTTAAAATAAAACTAACGAAAAGTATGAAAATTGATTTTGATTATAAATGTTTGTACTTTTTCTGATACCATGCATTAAGTTATTTCTCCATTTCGTTAATTGTTTGTCGTTCTTCAAACAATTCTCTATGTCTATTTAAACTATGGCTCGTACCATTTTATTTGAAATTTTCTCAATGTTTTTCTACTCTCTTTATTCAATGACAGACTGATGTCAGTCGTAATCTACTTTTTCATTAGCTAATGATGTATTCTTTTTTTCACGTTCTATGAAGTGTATTCATCTTAACTTGACAGTGTATTCACTTCAATAGGGTAGTGTAATCACAAGATGTATTCATCTTAACAGAGTGGTATATCCCTCTTAAAAGGATTCATCTTAAAAGACAGCTGCAATTTTCGTTGCTCCTCTATGTTAGTGTACACTATTCTCAATACTATCTTTCGGCTAATATAAAGGAGTTTCACCATTTTAGCCCCACAAGGGGCTGCCATGACAAGTTTTGTTTTCATATCTTCATATTGTTACTATCGTGAATGTAACTAACCAATTAAAAAAGAACATTTACAGTAGTCAGTGTTTATATATATTTTAGAAAAGTCTATATCAAAATATTTGTGTCAATTGATATTTGTGATATAATTTCCAAAGAGAACAAGTTAAACTTCTGACTATTGACTTTTTCAATGACAGACTGCATGCATGAAGCCATTCGTATAGAAAGATTTTTGACAATGACACCGTATAATAATACTTCATTTATAAGCCATCTATATGGCATCCTTGACTCTGAAATGGAGTATTACGTAATCGTACAGTTCTAATTTTTCGAGTTTGTTACAGATATTCTTTACTTTACATATATATATATATATATGAAACAAATAAAGGTAAAAATTAACTTTTTTCTTTTGTTCTTTTACTTATTCTATAAAAGTCAGAATGATTTACCACTCTATACGCTCTACCCTCAAAATTTAAACTGGTTATATGGGATAAACTATAAACATATGTCAAAAAAGAATGACTAAAATGAAATTATTCTGTTTTATTCCTTTTTTCGTATCACATTAAGACTCACATATTATTACTAATACTTTTGAGTGTCTTATCTGCTCCTATTTGTAAAATCTTGATAATTATCTTACGTCTCTAGGAGAAAACAGATGACGATATTTTTCATCAAAAACAATTTCTGTTAAAATTGAAAGAACAACCTCAACGGATTATGTCAGCACCGCCACCACAGCAAACATTGTCATCAACAAAAATTGTTAAAACACGAATGAATACGAATAAAAAATTACCTAACAACAGTAATTGTGAAAACTGTGTTACTAAAAAACCATTGGTCAAGACAAAACCTATAACAACAAAACAAACAACGACATATTGTCGTCAACGCAGTGCAAGTGTACAATTAGATGTTCCCAAAACAAAATCACCGACAGAAAACCACATTGCTAAAGATGTGATAAATATTCATATTAATGGTCCAGAAATCACATTATTACCGGCTGATGAACAGACTGTTCAAGAAATGTATCATAAACTGCAACAATTACAGCCAGATGGTGTTTGCGTTGAATTAAATACACTAAGACGAGCGTTATATCCACCAACAGTTCAAAATTGTTTAATAACAAATCATAATGAGGAAAAATCATCAGTAAAACGGTAAATTTTTTATTTATAGTACTAGAAACGATCTAATTAGCTTGATAAATTATTTGTATGAGATTTTCTCTCCATTCTAGACCTCCCAAACATCCGCCAAAACGATGGACTAATGCTGATGATGAATTATCGAATAAATATGAAGTCAAATTACAAAATTCCCAAAGTATGTAGTTTATTTTTAGAAATAACGTTACGATGATTTGTATACTCCACTATAGCCGTTGATGATGATTGCTTTTTCTAGATGGTAATTGTGAGGAAAAATCGAAACGCGATGAAATTGAACGTAAGAAATTAGAAAATCTCGATCAAATATATCAGCAAGTGAAGAAACATGCAGAAATTAATTATAGTTATTATACAAGAACGAATAAATAATATTCACTCTTTCTGTCTTTTGTCTAATTAGTCATCTTCGAACTGTATTTTTTATGCAGGCCATTTTGTTGTCCATTCTTTTTATATTGAGTTCTGTTGAACAGAATTTTTGTTTAAATAAACGTTTGGCTAGATCTCAAACAATAGCATGTGCAAAAGCATACACTTAGGGAGTGTATGCTTCTGCTGCTTTTCAAGAAAATCATTTGCTCATTAACAATCTCTTTTCTCCCAAAAATTTCATCTGAGCTCTTGTCCAGATTTCGTGGCGAATCGAATCAATATTTAACGAAAAGGGGTTTTCTGCTACTTTTTCTCCCATATATTTGAGAGCAAATCATTTCTAGAACTTTTTTTTCAAAAAGAAAAAAAGAAAATTGTGTTTTCTTCTATGACTTTCTCCCGAAAAAATTTACATGCTACCTTTTTTCCCTCGCCACAGCACTGTTTCCGATGATCGATCGAGTAGACATTGGTCTATAGCATTTGTTGAGTTAAAGCGATCGTTAAGGTTGGACATAGAACTAGACATATCCTTGATTGATTAATTACAAATTGCGAAAGCAAACGAACACAGACGTTTTTTTTATTTTTCTTGTTTGTGGTAATTATGGACACTCAGCTATTTTTCATGGGGTAACTATGGACATTCCGTGCAAATCGCACGGGATAGTCAGAAAACAACTTCTGCTGTCTTTTAGAAATCGATTTTCATACCATGCTAAACGGCAGAATTGTTTAGAACCATGAGCTCTATCATATATGTAAAAACCGGATAAAAAAAGTGTATTTTCATCGTTTCCTGTAGAGAATATGAATACTGTTGTTGTTGAACGATCTTTCGTCCAAAAAATTAAAAAATTGTCCATTAAAATTAAAGATAAATTGAATTAGAACCTTAATTGACAATCAGTTCACGAACAAGTTCAACTTTTCATAAACCTCGTATAACTCTCTTCATGTTACATCAAACATTTTTTAAAAACTGTCCATCTAGCGTCAATTATTTTCAAGTGAATAGTCAAGAGTCGGGATTATATCTGAATACCGTTGGTAGTGTATTACAATTTCGGCGCTTTTTTCTGGGTCGATATTCAACAGAGATTTGCCACTACTCTACTACATGATGGAAAAAAATGACAGATAAGTCCTGACTACTATTGTTGAGCGAATTTTGTGAAAGAGAGAATAGCATCAATTCAGCAAAATAGCAATTTTTTTTGTGAGATTTGATTGATTTAGTTTCAAGCTATTAAGCAATTGTTATATTTTTACCTCCAACTTTAAGAACTGTCGCAACACCTTTCATACCACTAGAACTTCGTACAAAATTCCCTCAACAATGTGTGTTTGTTTATTTACGCAATTTGTAATTAATTAATCAAAGATATGTCCAAAGGACTAGCAATTTACAAGATAGATAGAGCTCAAAATTCTCTACAAGATGGTATAATTTTTAAAACTTTTTAAAACCTCGCCGTTGAGAAAAAGTTGTTTTACTTTCTTCCAGCCATTTTTGTTGGACTGTTCATAATTATCCCACCCCAAATGGGGTAATTATGAACATTTGATAGGAGTTCTCTGGAAATTGGTGAGTACTAATTAATCTTATTGAACTTTAACAAGATTTTTACATTAGTAGATAGAGAAATATCCGATTTATCCACTTGTGAAGTGTCGTTTTTTCCCGAAAAAAAATGCTTCAGGTACGCTCAAAATACTGTGAAAATTAGAGAGGCTGTTAAAAATTACCCTATTCTACTCTATAAGTTCAGCGTTCTTTTTTAGTGTTCTCTTTGAACGTGAACGTGAATGTTCTGGTGAACGTGAACTTTATTTTATATGAACGGTGTTGATCTTGTGTAGAATGAATAGTATTACAAAACGTTATACAGCAATTTCACCTAGTAGTATACCAAGTGAAACAGCTTTCTCCATTGTCAGTTATATTTAGTGAAAAATCAACGCTCGTTTGCCCCAAATAGGTGATAACAAAGGAACAAGGAAAACGTATGTAGTTACTGAAATGGTTTGGACCAAGAAACTTCGGTTCCACTACAGGAAAAACTAGTTTTCTGGTCAGGAAATCAGCGATCTGTTCTTGGAAGAATCAATGTCTTGATCAGAGAACCAATGGCTCTCCTTTTTACATTGCGATACTCTGATCGCTCACTAGAGTTTCTATTGATTAAGGCCAGGCAGAAATATGTATGTTCTTTTTACAGTACAAGAACAGAATTTTATATTTACATCATACAATATGAACACCGTTCGTATAAAAAAAGCTCACGCTCACCAGTACTTTAACGTTCACGTTCAAGGGACGAAAGGTGAACTTTTACAGGCCTAATGGCCTTAAAACGACACATTATTAATCTAAATTTAATATACTTCCTCATCCGAGTGCACTGCCAGTTTATTACAAAAATAATAATACAAAACAAACATCTGTGAAGTCATTTTTACGATTTTTTTATACTTCAGAAAATACCATCGAACAAAACTATTTGAGAGAATCATGTCTCCATCCCTATTTGAAACACAGGCATTTGTTGACTTGACGGTGAATGAAAAATGTTTGGGTTAGGAAACGATCCTATCCGCTCTTGTCATTTTTCTACAAATGTAATTTGTTTAATGTGTGGGGACCTGGACGACAAACATCTAACACCAACGCTTTCCCTCTACACACTATTTTATTCAGGGACGTTTTCCAACTGTGTCCATATTTCTAATGTAATTACAAAGATAAAGAATTTTTGAAAAAGAACATTTTATCAGCATTTAAACTAGTGCACTATTCAAGCTGTTTCAAAAACGACTTCTGCAAAAAAGGACAAAAAAGCTTTAATGCATGCACATTTTTTCGACATGTCTACTAATCTATTTAACTAGAGAAAATCACATGTTGAATAATTTAGATCGTCTCTCTCGTTTGAAAAGTAGTTTTTCATTTTATCTCTCATTATCGCTTTGAGACTAAACGACATCGAGTACATAGCGATATTATAATATATAGCAAATCAGTTAATGAGCATGTATAAATCAACTTGTTTTGTTTACATAATACTTATTATTATTTGTTTCGAATGTATTCAATTACATGAGACAAGATATATTGAATCGGAAAGAAATAATGTAATGGAAAACAATGAATATAACGATTTTAATATTTGGACAAGTCTTTTGAAAGATTGGGTAAGCAATGTTTAGTTTAGTAAGTAGCTACCACAATAGCTGTGTAAAGAACATCCGCAGGCATTTCTGGTGACGCGTCCACTCATTTTTTAATAGCTAAGGTTTCTATACTTTAAGGATACCACAGGACCGTTCTACATTCCGCATGAGAATAGTATCATTGAAACGATGAGAACAAACGATAAATCATCACCGTCATCACAAAAACAAAAAAGGAGTAAGTATAATTAATACATGTAAATTTCCACAAGTCATCGAGGTTTTTTAGACAAGCAATGTCTAACATTTTCAAAAATCATTTTTCACTAAACGTAAAGTATGTAGTAGTTTGTCATGGATGTGGTTAGAAAATAGTTGTCTAACAACAACAGATGTCAATAGATTGCTCAAGTAATCTGTACTGACGAGGGAACATATGTAACTGACCAATCGTTTTTTTAATAAAATCTAGTGGAGTATAGGTAAAAAATAGCGCTGAATCCGAATATCGGCATGAGACGAGCCGCTAGACCTTGCGAGTACCGGATTTCTGGGAAACCAGGTTTCCAGAGTCAGAAACTTTTTGTTCCAAAGCTTTTTTCTGATCTGTCTCGATTGTAGAGCACATCGAGAAACCTATAAAAAACTAGTTTTTAGAATTATGGAACCCTTCCACAGCCCGCCAGACGGACTTTTCTTCTCTTTTTCGTACGCTGAGGTTTTCTGAGGGAGCAAAAACACTTTAAAAAACCCCAAAACTAGTTTTTTATAGGTTTCTCGATGTGCTCTACAATCGAGACAGATCAGAAAAAAGTTTCTGGCTCTGGAAACCTGGTTTCCCAGAAATCCGGTACTCGCAAGGTCTAGCGGCCCGTCTCATGCCGATATTCGGATTCAGCGCTATTTTTACCTATACTCCACTAGATTTCATTAAAAAAACGATTGGTTAGTTACATATGTTCCCTCGTGAGTACTATAAAAAGACAAAGATAAGTTTTAAACGCATCAGCAGCAATTTTATTCATTATTCAAAGGGTATGCACTCTTTAGATACAATGTTTCATATGGCAGGAGTGACTTCATAAAAAGAACCCATGATTACAAGAAAACAGTGCATTAGTAAGTTTTGGAGTACTTCCGAAACCCATATAAAAAAAATGATTCTTTTGTAACGTTACAATAAATGTCAGAAAAATACATTTTAAACGTGTAGCCACTCCTCTCAGTCGCACGCTGCTTCTTGAAGTCGTGGTTCTGAAGTTGCCAGTTCTATGTCATACTTCCACCATTCTCATGAAGTCGCACCGGCCATATATCAGACATAATTTACTAAAAATTAAGTCATGATTGAAGAACAGTATGATGTTAGAGCCCTGCAAGTTAAACCTAACCTATTAGGTTAATTAAATTTTTTATACGCCATTGATAACCTATTTTTAACCTAAACGAAAAAAAACGATTTTGAACGACCACATTAAAACAGTCAACACTTTGAGTAATAAAGCGTAGTCCGAGTAGAATTTTATCAATTGAAGATGAAGTTCAGACTGAGGTTCTCTAGTTTAAACTGAACTATTTTTAACCTGAAAAATACCACAATCAAAACAGAAAGTACAGAGAAAAAACTTCCGTTTGCTAAAAATAGATGGCAAATACACAACAATAACAGAATCTTCGTAGCATAAGAGAGCTTAAAGTGAAATTCTGGTCTTACTCTTAAGAGGATCTCTCTATTCAGAAAGCTACTTTCCAAAGATTGCATTAAAGAATAAAAGACTGAATCGATTCATTTCTATAGTCATGTAAAATGTGATTTATTTTGTATTAGGTTAATCTAGATTACGTTACGAAAAATATTAATAGATTAGGTTAAGTTTAGGTTGTGGAAATTTTATAGGTTAGTGTATAGGTTGTCAAAAAGTCGTAACCTGCACGGCTCTATATGGTGTACTCCACGAAGCACTTTGAACGTTCCACTACTGTATTTTAAAACCTCTCCTCTACTTTGGATTTTTTCTCTATTTCAGGTTGTTTTCATTCGAGTAATCCGAGAGCACCGTTGTGGATGTGTTGGTAGAAATTGGAAACTTTATTTTGTGCAGTCGTATTTTCACATCATTTTTTTAATTTACTTCTCTTCAATTTTCATACTCGATTTCAATTTGTTTTTTTGAGTGTGACATATTGTGAATGCATGCCGTATATAAACGTTGATTGAATCGAGCGAGTGCGATACAATCTCATACATTAAAAGGGAGTTCACCGGGGTATGTAAAAAGTCCATAACACGGTCCAAAAATAAATTTCTTTTACATGTGATTTTCGGATTCTCCAATTTAAATTTATCTAGGTATCCAACTTTTTAGTCTATGAGAACCTTTCCTGCGCAATAGATAAGATTCTTAAAAAAAGGTAAAGAATTTTTAGAAAATATTGCCTATTTGCGTTTTCTGACTATGATGAGTCTAAAGCTTATTCAGACTTTTTGAATCTTACACCGTTCGAGCGGTCAAAAAAGCACTGAGAAAAAATCAACATTCTTTAAATAGAAGCGTAGAATGTTTCTTGTGTAATGGTTTTTTCAAAGCCTAAAGTATTTGGATAGAAAAATATTAGTCTGTTTTATCATACGAACTACAATTTTGTTTAAAACATGTATTTTTATATAATAACGTCTTGTCTTATCGTCAAGTAGTATCGGAGATACTTAGAGTCTTGTGCACAGACATGCACCACAACTATTAAAAATGATTATTCTTCGATGCAGTAAAAATTAGTGATATGATATTCGAGAAAAATGTTGTTAGCCTATCACGTTAAAATGGCGCATTATTAATCTAAATTTAATATATCCCCTCATCCGAGTGCACTGCCGGTTTATTACAAAAATAATAAAGTACAAAACAAGTATCTGTGAAGCCATTTTTTAGGATGTTTTTATGCTTCAGAAAATATCAAAGAATAAAACCATTGGAGAGAACCACACCTTCATTGCTATTAAAAACAGAGGCATTTGTTGACTTGATGGTGCTCACTGTATAGTAATATCAGCGAGATCTATCTCAAGCAACTTTTCTCTTCGTATGAGAATCCTTGCGGCACTCCCAACGATTTAAATTCGATAGCGTGTGTATCTTTCAAACACAAAGCTTTTATTCAACAGAAGTATATGAGCAACGAAATGCAGTAGTCCCAATATGACAATCATTGTCATCATGATCACATATCGACTGATACTCTCTCCAATATCAAACCAACTTCCACTCGTTCGAATGAAAAAGAACAGCTCTAATGCAAGTAAATCACAAATAATTAGAGTAATCGAGTAAAATCTGATATTTACATTGAGAACATGCAACAGAGTATACATTGTGCAGCTGATAACCAAGATTGGTAGACAATATTTGAATAACAATAGAAAACCCATCAAAAATGGATTGAATACAGTAGTGAAACAATAAACATTTGATGGATCAAATGAATTGATCGATGCAAAATTGCCAGTACCAAAAAATCCTAATAATATAAATATTAAGTAGTAAAACGATAAACGAACAGTTTTATCGTTTGAGTGATAAGCTGGGACTCTTGTTGTGAATGATAATGTTTGAATTGGACCTGATATGTGAGTATCTGCGTGCTATTTTTAGAAAAGATAAAAAAGAAATGATTTACATTAGCATAAAAAATCGATGTGCTCACCAATTTTATATTATCTGAATGTGTTTCATATTCAAACATAATCCAACATAACATCAAAAGAGACAAACACAATATAAATAACGATTCGTAATATGTTGATAAAAGAATATAAATTGTAATTATTGATGTATAAACGAATAACAGACGTTCAATAATGTTAAAAGAGGAGAAAAATGGGACAATTATACATGATAATAAAAGTAGCCAGCTCAAAAGATGATTGAATGATGAACGGTACTGAAGAGTATGAACGAGATAGTTATTTATAATTGATAGGCATAGATTTAGACGCTGAATATGGAGAATATTCGTTTGACGATAATTGAATGATTTGAAATAGAAATAATGAAGTAATAGTGTAAGAATACCGGCTAAAACAGGATAGTTGATGAAGGACACTGTTGATGACTTTTGTTCAATATCCACTTTTTTTCCTAATGATGGTAAAAACGGAAATACAAGGATAATAAGTAACAAAAATAAATAGGCAAAACGACGTTGACCGCTAGATCTGAAATCATGAAAGACAGTGGTACAGATAAGAATGCTGTTTAATATCATAGTGGATTGTCTTCACTACCTCGTCCACAAATTGCCACTTCGTATGAAGCAGGTATCAATTATAATGAAGAATATTCCCAAAGCCATTGCCTGACGATAAAAAAATGGAATAAGACATGTTTGTAGACAAAAAAGATAGATAACACCATTTTTCATTTTAAAAGTGTTTCTTCTTAAACTTGTTAATAATATCTTTGTAATGTAATCACTAGATAAATATATATGAATAAAGGCAATTGTCGGATATAAGAAATATGTCCATGGCGAACGCTCATATAAAAATAATAAAATAAACGAAATTGGTAGAATTTTTAATACAAATGAAACTGTATTTTGTTTGTATTCTTGATCATTAATATTATAGCTTTGTTTCAATATTGTACCTAACCATCCCAGATAACCGACAACGATTAATAAACCAAGTAAGAATCTTCGATAAGTGTGATAATAATGAAATGCATCTAATGTCCGTTTCATAAATAATTGAATTTGATGTTTGATTAAATCGTACTGATCACTGTTATTTACTAAAAAAGTTATTATATTACATTGTACTAAATCATTTACTGCAAACAATAAAAGAAGATTTTTCATACAAAATGCTACCCACCAGTTTTTAATAATCTATCCATTTGTGTAAAAAAAATATTTTCGTCATCATCTGTTAAAAGTGGATAGATCTTGAAGTTGATCAGACGTTTCATCAATTCCTGTTTTTGTACATGAACTTGTTCTAATAATTGCCTAGCATTTTGAAGATAAGCTTTTAATAAATGTTCATCAGTTGGATATAAATAATCAACAGGTAATTGTCCAACAGAATTTACGGGATATTCTAAACCTAGTAAATAAGCCATAAGTGGACAAAGATCAGCTTGTTCTACATGAATATTTTTTCGTGTTTGATGAATACCACTACCCCACAGAACAACGGGTGTTAATGTCTCAGTATCATCACCTGAGCCATGTGATCCCCAATCTGTCATACCATGATCGGATGTAAATAAATATGTGGTTTTTTGATCATGAGAATAGTAAGATTCAATTAAGATTACAAGACGTTGAACAATTTCATCAACAATTTGAATATTTTGTAGATAATTGAATGACCATGGTTTATGAGAGTGACCATTCGTATCAATGCCTTAATAAGAAATGAAAACGTTTGTCATTTAAAATATAAAATATGTAAATATATGAATACCTAATAAATGAAAAAAAAAAACGATGCCAGATTGATCTAGCTCTTGTTTATAGCTGTTTGATTTATTTAATAAAAATTCTTTAAATTTTTCTTCAACCCATAAGTCTAATTCATACGAATTATTTCGTCCAAATTCTTCTCGTTCATGATCATAACATTCAAGATAAAAATGTTCATACGTTAAACCGCGTTTAAACATTGGCACAATATCCGGACTACCAAAACCAAATGTTGATAATGAACGATTAAATACACTATCAAATTCAATTGGATTTTCTTTCCATCCACGTGTAACTGCCGAAATATCTTCATAGAATCCACTAATAATTGCTACATGACCAGGACGTGATTCTGTTGGTACACGAGTATGAGAAATACCAGATATACTTGGTTGATTATTGATGATTGAATGTAAATAAGGAGCATATTTAAAGTCGTAAAATTTATCTGCACGCAATCCATCAGCAACAATTAGTACAAGTCGTTTGGAAGGTGGGATGGTTGTTGAACGATGAGGTGGCATACCATGAGTTAAGGGAGATGTAAAATAAACGTCAAATATGGAATAAAATAAAATAAAATGAGTGACAATTGCTAACACAATAAATTG